GGGAATGCTGGGTATTGCAGATTAGTTTTTTAGTGGTTTTTTTGATTTTTCTCTGGTGCCGTCCGTGGGTTGATCTTCCGGATATATGTATTTGAAACAACGAGATAGTACGACCTAGTGAGTATGTAGGGTGGTGTCCGTCCGTTCAATTTGCTTGTTTGGTCCCCGGCCGGACATATACATATGTACTGGTTCGGTTCGTCATTATCATCATATTATATATCTGTCACGCTTTCCGTTTCCCCCTTGCGGCGTGCCGAACCTAGAAGATCTTCAACTCGAAGTCAGCCCATACTCAAGACCCGCAAGCAACGTCGACAAGTAAACGACAAAGGAAGATTCATCAGCGTCTACCAAGGAAACCGAGGGAAAGCAAACAAATACATACAAATCTGAGTAGGAGACGACGACGACGACGACGACGACGAGATACACAGACAAAGATGTGCATGCAGAGAACATGTCCTACTTGTCGTAAGTCACCAAGTCACCTTTCCGCCCGGTCTATCCACCATCACCCTCTCATGGCCTCATCTCTGCGGAACGCACCCCTTCTCTTCCCTCCTCTTTTTTCCTCCTTCCCCTACATAGATCCAAGACCACCCCCCTCTTCCCTGTCCTCCATTGACCGCCCTTGTGTTGGGCTCTGTGTCAAACCAGCATCTATCTCCCTTGCGCCCTGCTGCCGCTCTGCCCCGAACCTCTCTTCCACTCGTACTGACGCCTTGAGCAGAGAAGACAACCTGGTGGGGCTGCGGAAGGCACATCCCCAGCGTCATGGACTCGATACCCAAGGGTGCCTGGTGCACCTGTAAACCCACGGTCGAGGTTGCCGGGCAAGTGTACCCGCCGAAGCAGGGTACGGGGCATCCTGGATAGGCTTGCCTGTCTGCCTTTCTGTTCGTGTCTGTGTCCGTGGCAGGCATGGATAAGGACAGGGAAAGCGGGAGGGAAAGGGGAATAGGAATGGGAAAGTGAGGCGGCATGGAGTGGTGTTTGTGAGTTCATTTTGACGGGGGATAGACAGACAAGGTGGACGGGATGCATGTTGCAATATGGACATGGGTAATGATCATCATGGGGAAACAGGTCAGGTCGCTGAAGCGAGGAACAGGTCCGTTTTTGTTCTCATTGTGTTGGCTGGGGTTTTATCTTTCACTTTTCTTTCTGAAAATACCACACCAACAGTGGCGAGGCAGTGGGTATACATACAAAGATATTGAATACCCGCAAAGTTTTCAATGCCCGGTCGTTGTGCAGCTCGAGCTCAAGCACAAGCTTCAAGTGAACACGATACCGCCGTCAATGACAATGGTCTGACCCGTGACAAATTCTGCGTCTTTGGAGCACATGAACCCACCGACGACGTTGCCGACGTCCTCTGGCACGCTGACGCGGCCCAACGCCGTCAGATCCGAGCTGTACTTCTTGACCGATTCGCCCTTCTGTCTCCCCTCGATCTCGCCTAGCTTCTCGTCGATAAGATCCCACATGGCGGTCCCGACAATGCCCGGCGCGTAAGCGTTGACGTTGATCTTGTGTTTGGCCATCTCCATCGCAAACACTTGTGTGAGGCCCCTCACCGCCCATTTTGACGCGCTGTAGTGCGACAGGAGCGGGAACGGCTTGAAGGCGACGATGCTCGCCGCACCCAGGATCTTGTACCCACTGCTGCCCTCGGGGACCGGGCCCTGCGAGATCATCTGCCTGGCCGCATGCGTATAGCACAGCCACACCCCCATAAAGTTCACGTCGAACATTCGGCGGACGTCTGCGTCCGAGATATCCAGTGCTGGCGCGACCTGCGCGATGCCGGCGTTCGCGACCATGACTGTCAGGGGACCGAGTTTCTCTACCGACTCTTTGATCATCGACTGCACTTCCGACGAGGAGGTTACGTCGGCGACCACACCAATGGCAGCACCGGAGCCGTGTTTGGAGTTGAGCTCGGACACGAGTTTGTCGATGCCGGACTTATTGGCTGAGACGTCATTGACGCAGACAGCATAGCCCTCTGCCGCGAGTCGTCGAACGATCGCTTCGCCGCTGGGGAAGGAAGAGTAAGGTTAGTGAGTAACACCCAAATGTTTGGGCGGCTTGGTGGTACACCTACATCCCACGGGATGAGCCCGTCACAATTGCTGTCCGCTTGGCCATTTTTTCTGGACGTTTCCTGTGCCTCGACAAGTGAAAGGGTTTGAGGTCCTAGGTGAAGTTGGAGGCGAGTATAGTTATCGGGGAGGCTTCAAGTCAATTGCAGATCGCAGAGCATCTGGCCCTCTCGCAACACAAGATATACGTCCACATCGTGACCAATACTCGCTGCCGTCATCCCGAGGGTTTCTCCTCTCCGGACACGCGGAGTTGTCTCATGGGTAACCCATCGACTGTCCTCGAACCACTCGAATGTGGAGTACCGACACGATTGAGGGAGAAAAGAAAGAGGGAGAGAAAGTGCGGGGCAATAAAGGACCGAACGCAGCTCGGGTGGGACGCGGGATTTTTTCCGAGATGGAAAAGGGACGCCTCATCTGGATGGGCTTCCCACTGGTCGACTGGCACAGCTCCGGGATGGTCTTCAGCACTTGCTGTGGAGGTTCATGGGGGTGTAATTGGCGGGGTGGAACAAAGACATGTTCCCATGATGCCCTTTTCGCAACTCTGAATCTTCCACCGGCTCGGGGCAATGGCACCGAACTCTCAATTTCTTCGCCAGGCCTAAAGGAGACTTAAAAGGCATCACAAGGTCGTGCTCATCCAGTCAAGTTCGGTTGTCGACATAATATCCCGCTCACGCTCAACGTAGTAGAGCAACATTTTCCCAACGATGGATGAGTGTAGGTCCGGACTCACGCCTCTGATACACGAGCAGAAATGAATCTCATGAGTTGGCTAATCTGTGTGGATGGATGGAGATCAGCACAGACGGCATCCGATTCGCTCATCAATCAATCCATGAACCTGCATATTGGAAGTCGATAGCGGTCGATGTTCCAGTATTTTCGACGAACTCCTTCCCATTCCCGCGTCAGATTAGGTAGTTCAACTGTCTCCCACTCCACGTCAAAGTCGGATTCAAATAAATCAAACTCGACAACCTTTTGATACACGTCATAGCTGATCTGCCTATCGGCACCCATACCGTTGAAGAAAGACCAGCGCCCGTTCTGGCTTAGGAGGCTTATCACCTGCTCTGAGAAGAAATCGCGAAAGGCGCTGTACGACTCGGCGAAAGTGTCAAAGTATATGGCGTCAAAGGTCTCGCCTTCTGTAATGAGTTGCGGAAGGATGTTTTGCCATTTTCCTTTGTGAACCTCCACATTAGGCTTTTCCATCCACCCGTCACTCTCCATTTTGCTGAGGACATCTGGGTGAGCTTCCACAATATGGTGACTGGCGGGCTTGTTAGCATGGTTTTGGATGTGTGTATCAATGATGCCCATGCCAAAGCCAATGTTCAGGATCTTCAAGCCTGGCTCTGATAAGAGTGCGTTGGTGGACTGGAGCATAATGTCGCTTTCCCATCTCATCATGACACCGTTTTGTTGCTCGTCCAGAAGATTGTTATCGCCAAGTGATAGTGCCGAAGAGAGGTAGACTGAGCTAGTAACATCCTCGTGTGACGTGTTGGCATCCGAATCGTCCTGACCTTGCGACTCTTCGGCCACGTTGTTATCCTCGCCGTCCTCGTCGTCATTTAGTCTCTCGTACCCTTCCAGGCGGTTGAGGACCATCTCTGCACGGACTCCCGCATCGACCATGATTTGGTAAAGATCGTGCAGCCCCAGGCGGTAGGCAATACATCCTGGGGTCTCGTCATTCTTGTCTAGCTGGTTCCAGATTGCGCCGTTCTCGAGTAAGAACTTGAGAAATCGGGTTCCGCTCTCCTCACTGTGCGAGAGAGAAGTAGAATCCCCATTGAGTTGTGTGGCGCAGACGGATATCGCAGCATGGAGCGGTGAGAAGCCAGTGAAGGGGTCCTGGACATCAACGACTTTACATTCTGGAAAGGAATATTGATCGATATATCTTTGTAATGTCCGTATGTCGTGGTTTGTTGAGGCACGGATGATTTCATGGATCTTGTCGTCGGGCGTGTTGCCATTGTCTCCGTCAACTGGGAGATCGGCCATTTTTGACCGGATCGAGCTTGACTCTGAGACCAAGATGACCTCTTATATCTCCATATTATATGAATTCCTACTTGGTGCACATGTCGTCGCGGCAGTAGCTGTCAGAAAATTGTTACAGCCGATTCGGAAAATTATAATTCCGACACCGGGCCAAGACCCGCTAAAGTCCGCGTGCAGAAATCGCCATCGACTTGCCCTGGCAAACGAACTTCAAACTAACCTCAGCTTGGTTTGTCTTGCTTTCTAAGACTTCTGCAGCCTCAATTCCATCGCGAGATGGCCATCTTGTCCCTTTGGAGCCCTGTCGACACATGAGAGGATAGTGGCCTTGCCGTCGTGGCTATTCTGGGATCTGCACCCGGCGTCTGATTCATCTACCCAGCCTGCCAGCCCTGACCTGTAGGACCTCTTCCGACACAGCAACGCGGTCGCGATAGACCACTACGAAATTTCCAGGACTGGGGACCGCAGTCTACTTTCCCTGGAAACATGAGGGCGCCTCTATCCAAGCCAGCTTTTGCCGTGTCAACAAATCGTGATGCAGAGTTCCCTGATGTGGTGAAGGCTTTTTCTAAGCCTATCGCTGGTTGGGGTCGCAGCGGTCGAGAGTTTTCACACAGAATATCCACAATCAAGGCCATCAACATCATTCTACGGTGAAAAGCGATAGCCTTTCGATTGTAAATCCCTGCTGGGCTTTTGGGCGACATCCCGTTGCCGCCACCATCATATCTGAAGCAGCAAAGCTGCCCCACCTAGAAACGCTGAAAGTCCGGCCTGCCCGATATTCAACCACACCATCCAGCATCAGCCCGCCCAGATTTTCAGTGACCAACAACACTTCTATTGACTTTCGCCCTGGGGAGGATGGGGAAACCGAAAGGCAAAAGCGTCAAGTCGGTGACGGCTGACGCTCCCCAAGAGTTACATTCCGAGCCGTACTCTGTTCCCAGGCCGACCAGCCCTTTGAGAGCCGCCGATGGCCATAATGTTGACGGTTGGGCCGACGAGGACATACGAACTTACAACGAATTGCTCAACGAAAGAGCAAAACTGGAAAAGGAAAAAAACGAACTGGAGCAGAAATCCTCCAGACATCAGACGCAGAGGGCCTTGCTAGATGAAAATGCCACAGCCCTTGACAAGCTGTTCAAATCTCAGCTAGGAGGTGATTTCAAATTCACGGGTCCAGGGATCTGCTGCTTGGACGTTGATGTGAAGGGAGCCGAAAGGACCAGAGGTGCTGCAGGCTCTTGCAAACACGAAATTTGCCTACGAGCCAAGACGAAAGGGATTTCTTGGATGGAGATGGACACTATAAAATATTACCACGCAAGAATCATGGCCGAGAAGTCGCAAAGAATGCAAAACGCGCTGCGCAAGCAGAGAGACGTGGAATTAGTGCGTGTCAAGAAGGATGATGAGGAGGAAGCTGCCTTGCGAGCCCGCAGAAATGCGATTTTGGACAAAGCGACCCGCAGTAGTCTGCCTTCCACGCCGACAATCAAGGATGACAAAGGCAACGCCACGTTGGAGACCTCAGCGCTGGATCTACTCCCTATGGCATCCAAAGATTTTCTGCTGGATCCCAAGAATAGCGCCATTCTGGAAGCCGCCAAGGAGAACGAGCACATCGTGCGCAGAATTCGGGGACGGCTGGATAAAATTCGACACGACGTTAATGCCGGGAGAGTTTCACCTGCGGATGCTCGTGTGAAACTAGACCAAGCGAATTCTGAGATGGCGGAAGCTGAGAGGAAGAATAACGAGTTCCGGCAGATGATTCTTGATGCCGAACCTGCGCTTTCACAACTTCACCAGCATTCTGCCCCCACAGGGAATCGCACAACTCCCAACACTCCGGCAAGCTTGACGACGGTGCTTCAGAACACTTTGGCAACTTCCAACGCCGACGCCTTCTCTCAAGCCCTCAGTGTGATGAAGGGTTTCTTCAGTGCCTCAGATCCACATGATGTCCAAACCGCTATCACAGATTTGCGCAGCGTGCTGGAACTCAACGGCCCGATGTCTCCTGTCTTACAAAAGTCCTTCAAGGCTCTTGAAGAGATGCTCGCGAAACCTAATGCCAAAGGATTCACGGTCGATGTCACCACCGGCGATGGAAAGACGAGGACATGCAATAACGTGGTCGAGGTCATGATGAACCTCCGGTTAAAGATGCAAGCCTCTGACAATCCCTCCGCGGCTGCCGACCCTGATCTGAATCTTGACGAAGACACGATCAAGGCCAATCTTGAATGTATCAAGGTTGAAGATGCTGCAAAGCACTACATGCTGAAGATGGTGGAGAGGATGCCTGGAGCCACAACCGCCAGTGTCACCAGCGCCCTCAAGAAACTCAAGGCAAAGGCTATCCTAAAATCGCCCATCCCACCACTCTCCGACATCGTTCTTGACGATGTGATTAGTGATATACTCTTCCAACGATCGGTCGATGCTCTGGTCGCTGAAGCAGCCAAGGGTGCCAGCCTGGCACAACTATCTGGAAAGGTGACCTCACTTGTCATTTCGACCTCCCGAAATAACCCAGGGAAGTATCTAGCGACTTTGAACATGACGAAAGATGCCATTATGAAGGGGAAGAAGCTCCCACCCGATGTACTTCTCGAGGCCATCTCAAAGGTGGAAGCCTCCATGACACAGTTTGTCAAAGCCTATGGGGAGAAAATAAAACAGATCGATGCCGAGGAAAAAGCCAACCCCAGCCCATCTCCCAAGCCCGATCTGGAGATTCACCATCTTCTGGAGGGCTCTCATGTGGACAAAAAGGCTTTCGAGTTGTTCAAAAAGTTCTTGCGCACTCCATCGGCAAATGACCCTGCGGTATTGCGCGCCCGTTTCTGCGAATATCATCATATGTATCTTGAAGAGGGCATGTGGGACATGCTTCACGTTGTGCTAAACCAGCAAACTTCGGGCAAATTCTGGTGGGCAAATTGGGAGGCCGAAAAGAAATATTGTATCGAAAACATGCAGGTTGCCGCCGCTACGCCAGGACCAAAAGTTGCGGACTTTGTCTTGCAGCTGCAGGAACTCGGCATCTGCCCTGCGAGGGCTGCGATCATACTTACACAGCGCATCGCATTACAGATGAGACAGGACTCCGAAGCCGCCAAAATCAACATCATGACTCTCCGAGACATCTATGCGGATTGTGAATCTCTCAAGCACAAGGAATGGGCTCGGTCTTTCAACTTTATCGGACGAGCTATGGCAGACACCTTTGCAATGTTGATGTTTGAATTGGTCGGCCAGGTCAACTTTGAGATCGCAATCATGGCTGCAGACTTCCTCGCGTTCATTTGCACTTTCGTCCTCGGCTCAATGGACGCCATAAGAGCCGAACTTAACCTCCGCTACCTCGAGCAGTTCATTCTCAGTACTCTTATGGAAAGTCGTACCCCTATCAACAAGTGCCGGGATATCTTTTCCCGGTATGTGCACATGTGCCAAGATTCATCGAGGTATAGGTGTTCTCCAGACCATAGATGTCAGGCGACATTCTCCCGCTATGCCACTGAAAAGTTTGCATCTCTCGTCCCTGCACCGTTGAAGGTGAACAAAAAAGGAAAGGAGACTCCAGAAAAGCCTACGTCGAATTCAACGAAAACTGGCACTGCGCCCCCACGACATGTCCGCATTCGGGTGACCGTCAAGGCATATTGGGACGTCGCAAAAATTCTCACGCCGCACTTGAAATGTATGGAGCGCAACAAGAAGAACAAGAAGAGTTGCCTCTGCAGTCGAGCTGATCTGGAATTTGCCGAAGAAATTCAAGTCCTCAAATATGCCCTCGATATCGATCTGGCTAAACTTGAGACCATGGTCAACAAAGGCTTAAATCCTCCCAAGGAACTATGGGATAGGCTGGAGAAAATGGCCTTGGCTTTGCACGAACGCCCTGCAACCTATGAAGGAAACCAGAGAAGAATAACAGAGTTGAGAGCAAAAGTAGGAACCGCTCGATTTACGAAGATTCCTCCTCCCAACGAACCAGTGACCAAGGACTTGACAAACACGCAACGGCAGCTCAGCCTCAAGTCAGTCCCAGTTAATGTCCCCAGCATCCAAAACAACTTATCAAGCAACACTTCAGAGAAGGGCAAACTTGAGAAGGATGCCACAGAGAGTCACTTGGGACACCAGCATGAGGCATCGATCCCAAGCGAACCAGGTGCAGAGAATAAGTCGGTTTCCACAGCCGACCAGGACGACGAATCCGATTGGCATATGACGGAGCGAGAACTTGAGATCAGGGACCAGCTGCTCACGTTCTCCGACAGCGTAGACATGATGCACTCATTTGCGTCTGTCATACACCATGGTGCCAACGATCTCGCACTTGATGGCGTGGCGTGGCAAATTGAAGACATGCTCATCGGCCACGTGGAAATGGCGTGGATTATTGCAAAAGCTCAGGGCTATAGCGGACTGCAAACTTGGATGGAGTATTATTACGCACAAACCATGCCCACCCCTTTGGGGGAGAACTTCAAAGTGAACGGCACCGGCGATTACGGTCATGATGGAAGCCTTGCCGACGCGTATGCAAGGAAGAAAACTATCGCCTTCGACATTATCAGCAAGATGGGCGGTGGGGGTGCGAAAGGCAAACCACAGTCTCAAACCGCAGGGTCGATGTTGACTGCGGCGGCAGGGAATCCTGCGACGGCGGCCGCCAACGCAGCAGCAGCAGCAGCACCACCACCACCACCACCATCGAACCCTTCTGCTTTGCAACAGGCCGAACAAGCCGTGGCTGACATGGAGCGACTCGGTCGCAATTTCATCTCGCAGATGCAGATTGTCTCGAATCGGCGCAAGCGCATGCCGAAGCGCAAGTGGTAGTACAAAATCAAAGCATCATTGACCGCATAATCTTGTTGGCCTAGGAACCTGCCGCGAAACTTTTCCACAATTGCTTTTTCTCCAAAACTAACGGTGTGTGGCGTTAAGGGGTGAGGCGCAAAAGGAGGTAGCAGGAGAAGATCTTTCTGACCTCTGAGGAACCGCTTCACGCGATGATTGAATTTTACAAAGGATCACGGAAATGAATTCAAGCAATGTGCCAAGAATGCAATGGCTATGTTGCTAAATGCCATGTCAAAACGGGTGAAAGCAAGAGAGAGAAAAAAAGACACCAAAAAAAGGGTTGCAGACTATATTGTTTTGCTATGATGCTCGATACGAATGCTCGGTCTTGTCTTTTCGGGACTCTAAGCCATGCTGGACAATATGGATGCATGGATTCAGGGGCGCCGCTTGGGTCAACGAGGACTTTGTTTTCGGTATTGATCATGTACGCATGTGTTCGACTGGGACACTGGGGGTCTTGTCTGTTTACCTGATTGCGATTTTAGGACACAGCCATGCCATTTTGGACGGCAGGAGACGGCTGCGTTGGAAGGTTGACGGAGAACAACAAAGGTGACAGAGAGCTGGGTGGGGTGGTGATGATAGAAGAAGATGATGGCGGTGCTGAGTATCTGACTGATTGATGGATTGGGAGGAGACAGTCGATCGAATGAATATTTGGCCAGGAGCTACGGTGCGATTGACCAAGTACGGGAGCAATGGAGATCCTCAGATAGATCATTCGGTCAGTCAGTCAGTGGTAGCTGCGTCCAAAATGGCAAGAGACATGTGCAAATTAAATCCCTGATCTCCGATTCTTGTATCGCTTCGCTTCGACTCGGTTCCTGCAGCCTCTATCTGCACAGTGCGAGGCAGCAGGGAACGAAGCCTCTCCTCGCTCTCAAGAAGCCCCCAATGCATCTCTCGTCTATGCACGACAGTTATGCCGTCCCGTAATCTAAGGACCTCGGACCTCGAGCGCACGTAGATCGATTACAAGCTCATGATGCCGACTCTAAAAACGCCGTTTGTGATACCACACCTTCTTTGCGGATGACATAGTCCTTCCTCAGCCGAGATATGTCGACATTATCCTCAAAAAAAGCTTTTGGGTTGGAGAAAGCGCCAGGAACAGAGGCGTCCATCATAGCTCCGGTCTCCCCATGATCAAAGAGCCACAGACATAGACCAAATACATCTTCACTCGTTCCGTTTCTTCCCAGTCGCCATGTCATCCACTTAATCCGTCATATCTTTACAACCCCGCCGCACCAGGTGCGTCCTTGTCGGCTTTCAGACTGAGCAGCAGGTCGCGCATCCTCTTCTTGGAGCTTCCATCCCCACCGCCCGACTGGCCTTTCCCGCTCAAGTCGACCAATTTTGCGATTCTCTCCCAAGCCGTGCCGCCCGCAGTGGTGTCTTCTCTTTTGGCCAAAAACTCCTCGGCCTCTTTAGCAGTCTGCGCCTTTTGCTTGTCAACTTTCCGGTTGTATGATTCATAGAACGAATCAATGTCCTTTTGTGCAGTGGAAATGGTCTCTTCCTTCTTGCGTTGGCTTGCTTCGTCACGACGGGCGAGGTCAGCATCCCGCTTGGCTCGCCATTCGCGGATGGGTTCAGTCTCTTCGTCTTGTGTCGGAGCAGTGTAGTTTGTGTAGCCGCCGAAGGTTGAATCGGTTATGGTGCCACTTGGCGCGACGCTCTGTCCATGTTTGCTTGTGTCAGTCTGAGGGTCCCTTCTCTCTGGAGTGGCGTTTCAGCAGCATACCTCGTTGCGGGTGTCGATGGCGGGAAAGGAGCTTTCAAAGTCGTCCAGTTCTTGTTGTCCGTCACCACCTGATGGCTGTACCGGAGCAGATGTGAAGTCGCCATCACCACCTAATAAATCGTCGTCGTCTTCGACAGTAGCAGCGCCAGGTCTATCGGTGGTGTCAAAGAGTTCGGCGTCCTCTCCTAGGAGCGCTTGTTCACGCTCTAGAAAGCTACCTTGGGCGGTCGGATCAGGGCGGACATCTATTTCTCCTGTATCCATCGTCAGTTACTCAGAGGGAATACAGTGTTGAGCATGTTATGCGAATCAGTTCCAGATCTTACCTGCATCAATGTCTTCAATGGAAGGAAACCGATCTGCCATTGTGAAGGTACAGGTGAGGAAGGGCTGCGGCAATAATGCGCAGCGTTCAGGAAGCAGTATACGGATTGTCGGTGGCTGAGTGACGGGGAGTGATTAAAGAAGCAGTGATCTGTACAATGACAATGCAATGGACAGTAGGTCAAGGTAGCAACTTTTGTGAGAATGGTTGTTTCCGTTGAGTTGCAACGGAGGACAATTGGCCTTTGGGAGAAATCGACGCGTCTGACACGACGACCGCGCCGCGCAAGTTTACGTGAGAGAGGTTTAGTGGTGTCTGACAGAATATTTTCTAGAATATGGCAAGGGCCGCTTGCTGTCTGGCGTGAGGCTTTCTTTCCGCATAGAGCAACAGGCTGAATGCCTCAGCCTCACCTGTTCGAATAGATGGAGTTTTTGTTAACCACGTTCCCAGAAACGCTATGTTGTCCCGCCGTCTCTCTGCAGTGATTCTTGAGTGCAGGACTTGTATTTGATACCCTCTTCGCTCTTCCAGCATTTGACCAATAAGCCAGAGACCTTTAAATGCGACACCATATATTTGGGCGTGTCACGTGCTAGCTCTGTCATTTGAAACCACAAATGCCCAAAACAACAACTTCATCGACTTGACTTTTCCCTCACTTTCCATCGAAAGTCATCATCAGCTACAGATAACTCTACAGTCTGCGTCGTGAAAGACTCTACTAAAGGGTCGGTTTTGAACTTCAAGCAGCAGCGACCAGGTCTTGATTGCTCCGTTGCCGAGCTCTCTTTCTTTCACTCAGCCAGCTCAGTCAGGGTGCTGTCATAGTTTGTAGCATTGTCCACCTGATCTTGAATCGCCTGTTCACGTTTACCTGCGCCCTACTTCATCTACGCGTAGGAGTCAAAGGGCTCAGAGAACACGGCCACACGCGCTCACTTCGACGCCCACGGATGCCGCATGGTGTAGACCACAGCAACACGGATCAACATGTCGTACACCGACGAGGCCCTCAAGGCCAAGCTCTCGACGCTCAACGAGACACAAGATAGTATTGTCTCCGTTTCACAATGGATCATGTTTCATAAGTATGTCCCTTACCGGTTGCCATATCTCTGTGGAATACCGTTCTGTGGTAGCACTCGAACCCTAGCTAACACTTATTCTCCAGGAGACATGCAGATCGCATCGCAAACTACTGGCTCACCCGTCTCCGCGATTCACCGCCAGCGAAACGCCTCAACTTCATCTACTTGGTCAACGACATCGTCCAAAACGCGCGAGCCCGGAAGCGTACTGAATTTCCGGATGCCTTTTCACCTTTGATGCCAGAGGCCATCCAGACGGCTTATCGCTCTTCACCACCTGAGATTCAAGGCAAGATCCGGCGTGTTGTTGAAGTATGGCGAACACGGAATGTGTTTGAGGTCCCGATCTTGGATGCCATCGACGCACGAGTCGACGAAGTCGACAAATCAAAGGGATCCGGGGGCAAGAAGACCCTCATGGGCAACTCACTCTTTGGCTCAACTTCCTCTTCAGGCGCCATGCCAAAGGAACTGGAAAGTCTGGCGCCCTTGCAAATCGCCGTGACCAAGGAGACCATCTCCGCCAGACCCGCCATCGACAACGCACAGAACGAGTACACCAAACTCAATGATCCGGAAGCAGTGCTACCGAGCCCCCCTGTCCATGCCGCACGGCTGTCAAGCCTGATCAAGTCCCTTGCGGCGGCTGAATCGTCTGTGTCAGCGAGTATCAAGGCCAGAAAGGCGCTGATCGCAGATCTTGAAAGAATCCTGGAAATCAACAAGACGGCATTGGCGAAGGATGAGGAGACGTACCTGACACTGGAAAGTCGGAAGACTAGCACCGAAGCCAAGAAGAGAGAGGTCGAAGATGCCATTATTCGTGGACTATCTTCAGCCGAGGCAGCATCATCTGAACACTTCGGTGGCACGGGCACAGGGGGTGCGTCAGCTGGCAACGATGCCGCACTCAACGATGTTGGTGGAAACAACCTCAGTGGCGAAACCGCAGCGAGCCACTTCCTCTCTGAACGCCCAGAAATCGAAGAATTTACTGATGACGAGGGTGACTTTATGCCCCATGGTATGTTCGATCAACCTCCCCCCAGCACTGCACAGTGGGATCGATCAGCTGCTGCGCCCGCCGCCCCTGCATCTCCGGACCTGGCAAGTTTTCGACCCAACAACCCCGCCGTTGCAGCAGCCCTGGCTGATTTCTCTGGCATCGCCGCGACGCCGACACCGGACTATACGGCGTTTCTACCTGGCAGCCACACAAACGCGCCAGCGATGCCGCGCGTCCGCTCGGCAAGTGGTGGGTCGGGCGTCAACGGGTTCGGGGCCAAAAGGCGGAAAATATCTCACGGTGGCGACGAACAGGTTCCTGATCTGGGCGAAATGGGCATGGAAGAATTCGGACAACCACAAGGCCACGATCAGGGCACAAGTGCTTTCGGTGGTACTCTCCCGGGGTTAGGAGCACCGCAGGCAAGTCCCCGAGGCGACGATCTCTTGAAGAATCTAGACGAGGACGTGGATGAGCTGCTGAGGCAAGAGGCTGCTCGAGGCCAGAATCAAGTGCCGGGACTTTAAAACGGCTTCCCCCGGATATTGTACATCCTATGCGTGCAAAAGAGACGGAGATCGTAAGAGCCTTCGATTGGGTCGGGATGTGCTGGCCAAGGATATTCCCACGGAGATGGAGTTATTGTCTACCATTTCTATCTACGGAGATCACCAATGGGAATGGCTGGCTTGCGGTGAAATACGCTGCGACTGAGCAAAGACAACGCGCAGAACCATTGAAATGTAATAAATCCTCATACTTGTTCTTTTTACGCCATACCCTGGGAAATTGAGAGATTGAGAGATTGAGAGACTGAGAGACGATGCATGGATGCATGGATGGATGAGTGGTACATTTTGGCACACTGCGAAATCTCAGTGAGCAAGAGCAAGAGCCAGCAGCCAGCTGGGAGTAATGAAGTCCTCTCCATCCATGGACGGGGGCCAAGGTTCAAGTTTGTATCTTCCGTGTATCCACGATCGACGACCTGCTTCCAGTCGCTTTTTTGAAAGGAGGAGGACTATCTACTAAAGTAAAGGGGAAAGCACGGAAAAATTGGGAAAGATCGGGAGAGAAAAATGAAATGTATCATTACCTAGGAGTTATCAAGAGCTGCGAACGCTATTCCTGATGACGGTGGTTTGTTCATTGGGGGCGGCAGGAAATGCTAATGAGTTAGAGAGACGGGACAGACGGAGATGGATGGATGGAGGCAGGGACAAGAAGAGAGACAGAGGGAGGGGGGGGGGGGAGGTCGGGAAGAGATCTAAGAGAAGGAGAAGGACAGAAATATGGTTATGTACATACATAGTTGTGCCGCTTGTGCCACTTGTGTCTTTGACGGGATAAGCAAGATGCATGCAATTCCACGATACTTCATATTCTGTTACCTACCTAGTTAGGTATCCAGGCCATATCATGGCATGTCATGCAATGTAGTATAATATGATATGATATGTAATATGTACAGCTTTCCTTTCCCTCTCAAAGACCAAAAGAATCTTCTAAAGGGGGGAGGGGAGGTGAACCGAGCGGGAAAGGGAACGACAAAAAAGTGAATTGCATCGCATATCCCCATACACCGATAGGCTCTTTGCGTCTGAAACGACGTTATACAAAAAAGTACAGCAAACCCCCCCCCCCCCCCCAAAAAAAGACGGATGAATTCGTTCCAGAAACTTCAAGTAGCAAGTGTACGCTGAAACGCCGTGCTTTCTAATAACAATAGTGATGATGATAGCAATATACACCGGCTCTCGGCTTCTTGAATGAGACTCGTGAATATCACGTCGGAGCAAGCATGCCCTCTTGCCTGGTGGTTTGTTGTTTTCGAGCAGAGACGTCGAAGTCCAGCATTTGATTCTCTCAGACTGCCACGACACGCTGAATTCCCAATCCTCGGAGCAAATGGTGAGATTTACTCCGCTAGGACGTAGAAACTTCCAAGGAACACTGCTGCAGACCTCGCACGACCCATCGAGGGCTTGGAAATGGACCAAGGACTCGTGCTCGATCAACGTGTTAGTGTCCCGGACACGGAGAATATCTCGAGTCGCTCAGCAGCCTGATTCACAGCGACCTTCCACAGGTTTCTCAGGGCGGGCGAGCAATCAACGCTCGGACTTCGAGGTCTGTTGTTCATGAATCGTAACGAGGCATTGTCTTGGAGCTATACAAGTGGCCAACTCGCACTCACGTCGACGGCCGCTTAAGTGGATGCGCCTCGGTATTGAGAACCCAATCATCTAAGCTCACCAATGTCGGCTCACTGAAGATCAGGTAAAAGTACTTCAGCGTCTCCGCGAGCCAAAAGCTTTCCATGCGGTCACTCTTTCCAGGCTGTGCATGCCTCACATCATGAACGGCAGCGTGCGCAATGGGTGTTCTCGTCGCCTTTTCGATGGACTGGAACATTCCCCACGCGATGTCTTGGTATCTTGGGTCCCCCGTAATGCGATACATGATGAACACCGACTCAATGGCTTCTGGCCGGAGGATGTATCTATTATCGCCGTGGTCCGTAAACCCAGGGAAAAGGCGACGTTGTTGGACAAGTTTTTTGCCGCGCTCGACAGCGCTCATACTTGCGGTTTCCTCGGTCGCGGCATGTTTACGAGAGACACCTTCGTACCACTTGTCATCTGACCAGTCGCATTTTCCAGGGGGTGGGTCGATCGTTCCAATTTGGCACGTTATCAGGTGGAAAGTTTCGGGCATTAGGCCTGATGGCATTGCGTTGTAAGCCCAGACACAGCCCTCAACTAGTCGACGTGCAACATCCAATTCGTCAGATCGCGAGAAAATTTTTGCACCAATACCAACCATGCCGCTGACGAAGCAAGCTAGGTGTTGACCTTGAGGCTCGAGGTTAGCGATGGGGATTGTCTCCAGGGAAGTCAGGGCCGCGTTGCCACTGAAAAGGATATTCTCGCCCCCTGGTACCAATGGGCGGAAGAAGAGATGTCGTTTCGCAGTATCGATGGCCTCTTCATACATGTGCTTGTACTTCTGGTCTCGGCCTCCTAGCATCATATACTGCTTCGGCAGATATTCGTACGTCGAATCGGCCATACCACCCATCGTAAAATGGTTATAGTCCCACGATATTTCTTTAGCATTGACAATGGTCGGCCACAAACCGGGTATACGTGTCGTGTTCTGGGCCCACTCCATCTCCTCTGCAATCCGTTGAACGGCATCAAAGTATTTCAGGTCGCCTGTGAGTTGGCTTAATCGGGTGAACTCGACGGTCAAGCTCCCAATTTCCGCAAGCAGGGTATTGGTACCGGGTTCGATCTCGCCGCCTAGGGCTGTTTTCTTCCAGTTCCACCGCGTCATCGGCATATGGGTGGGAGTGTCAAAGGCGGAATAGAGCATCTCGCCCAACTCCTTGGCTTTGTCGAGGAGCACCCCGTACTTTCCGTCCGTGAGGTCATATGCGGCAAGGAGACCGCCGAGGTAGCGAATAGTTGTCTCGAAGATGTTCAGTGTGTCTTCGTCATTGGTCGTGAAGTCGATGCGTTTGACCATCTCGACGCAGAGATCAAACTCATCGTTCAACCCCATGATGAGGAGGGTATCCATTGTGTCGACGAGAGTAGCCCCCCAGCCGCCGAAACTGGAGCGAAACGCGCCGCTGACCGGTGCAACTTCATCCTGACCCCACGCATATTTCTTGTATCCACTCCACGCATGCACGAATGCTTCTTTGACGGCATCTCTTCTTCTTTCTTGCGTTGCCTTCGCATGCGTAGATTCTGGCTGTGATGCGAAGTCGAATTGGATCTTGGGGATTTTCTCGAGAGGGCCTGTGGGCAGGTCCCGGTAACCTGCAGGAGGATATCGCTCGGGTCGTTTCGTCCAGTGCAGGCTGGTCTTGTGGCCCGAAGGAGGAAAGGGGACTGTGGTGGGATCACTGGGATAGAGGTAAATGTAATAGACCAGACAGGCCAGGAAGAACGCTGGCAACAGCCAGACGCGACGTATTAGTATCATGTTGGTGCTCTTGCGGTGGAGTGAGTGATGATCGCCATCAGGTCTGATCTGAAGTCTGACGTGTAGAGAGAAATTAAGATCCGCAATTAGAAACGACCCCCAAATCTTGGAGTTTCAGGGGGCCTCACCCGCCTCGCCCTGGGGAGAGACGAACAGCAAATGGCTCCACGAGGAAATTTAAGGTTCTCGTCAATATGTCGTTTAGATTTTAAGCTTAAATTTGTCCACCAACAAAGTTCCCCGCGAATGTCGCACCAGTTTCCCTGTTTCCACCACCTTTTTTCGGTGTTCGAGAAATATCCTCCGTGGATATACATCGTCCACACACAGTGAACAGCACGATAGTCTTCCTACTCCCAACATGGCTTTGACGGGGGTATTTATTCTCCCCTTCGGACCAGGCCAGTCCTCGCCATCCTCGGCGCTCATATCTCACATCTCGCGCTCCTTTCCAGCCGAACCACTCCCGCCTTTCCACCTTGACCACCGTCTGTTCGTCGACACCTCTTCGCTGCTCCCCAACTCGGATACATCTCAGCGTAGAACCACCAGTATACTGACCCTGTCACAGACGCCGGCAAGGACATATATTGCCACGACTGGGCCGAAGGAGAAATCTCAGGGGGCAACAGATCAGACGGCTTCCGCGCCGTTCACTATAGTCACCATCCCCTCGAGCTCCGCCGATTCATTCACTCAAATCGTCGGCACAAAACTCCAACCGCAATGGGCACATCGACAATCCATGATCATTGATAATGGCACCGCGCTGTCCCTGGAGAATGGCCAGTGGGTCATACGCATCGGGGACTTGAAAACTCCGACCCGACCAAACCAAGCTGCCAGCAACCTGAGAGGCATGGTGGTGGAAGTCTCCTTCATTGAAGCTCCGGTGGATGCCACACGTGGTCAAGTGCCAGTTGATGCTCTGAAAGACGCCAACGCGAAGGTTGTGAGCAAAGAAGACGAGACCCTGTTGCGTGGGATGCTCGAGTCGGTCACCGACGGCAGCGGAATGCCCTCGAATTTCAGCATCGACGCTATGCGGTCGCTGATTCGTCGCACCAACATACATCTGAAGGATAAAGATGCTGGCGACGCTTCGCCAGACTGGGACCTGGCAAATTTGTATTTGGACATCCTACGAGGATCCAGAGGTTGAGGGGAATACCACATTACCGCACTTGACAAACACCCGAACTTCGAATATCCCCCAGGTGACTTCGTACCACTCCATGAGAGCCGATGAGCGCCTTCTTTCACGCGGGCCAGCATGGCGTTTGTACTAATCAAGCAGCTATTCGTTCCGCACAAAAAACTCGTCAACACAAGAGCACTCCGTCAACAACGTATAGCGACCCTCAACCTCCTCCGCGCGCCAATACGTCAACCTTCGACCCAGCTCTTCATGCCAACGCAACCGCATCTGCCACCGATAAGGCCACGCACAGTGAAAGTCCTCCACGACTCTGCTCCCATCCACGTCGCGACAAAGCCCGCCCTCACAGCGAAATCGAGTCGCGTCCTCTCGCAGTTGGAGAAGACTCTTGCTCTTTAACCAAGAGCTCGCACAAGCGTGCACAGGAAGCTCCTTGCCTCATCAGCATCGTCAAACGTATAGACAACATACTCAAATGATCGAAGATGCAAGACCTTGAACTTGGTCCGTTCCTTTGCCTACCATACATGTCGCATATCGCATATCAACCTAGAAGCAAAGCCTAAAACAGACCACCAACCCAACCGCGAGTCCAGGACCGGGATGAGCAGCTCCGCGATGCACGACATGATGCACGATGCGTGTGCGCCATCCCCGTAAATGACAAGGCTGAAACGAGAAAGGTCGGCAGCCTACAAAGAACCCCAACAAAAGATTTTCAGGTAATCTCGAATGATCTTACCCGATAGGGAGCGGCGTGGGATACATGCATACAACGAATGACAGGCCCTCAAGGGAATCGGAGGGGGATGTTTGGGATAATTGGGTCAAGAGAATGAGAGAACGAGAGATTTGCATTCCGATCATCATCGGCATCGAAAAGGCTATACAGGGATAGAATGCGTGGGATATACCAAATATATCTGCTATTACAAGATCTTTCTACCTCAGTCTTGTCTTCCCTCCACATCCCCCTTCCCACCTTCTTCTCTTCTCCATTATCGCAGACACTTGGCACCGTGTTGTCGTCAAGCACGGCCGGAACAGGCAATGAGGCCGATCTTGGAATTGACCCAAACGCCTTCGTCTTCTTTCCTCTCTCCCTCTTCTCTTCCAACGACAGACCCTGGAATGTGCTGATCTCTCTCGTGATCATTGCGGGACACGTTTTGATCCTGCTCTTGCTCCTGTTTTCGCTCACGTAACTGGTGCAACTCATGCTCACGCACGATGCTGGCGACGATGAACTCGGCCACATGCTCAAAAGTGACGGTGTACCGCGGTGAGTTCGCCATGATCTCCAGCACTGGTCCGATGCTCCACGGGAGGGCGCGAAGGACAGGCCAGACACTCCAGCGCGGAGGCACGTCGGCGGTCGCAACGAGGGTCGGTGACGGTGCCCGCAGTGGCACGGATGTTGCGTCGTCGGCACTAGGAACGGCTGACGAGGTAGATGATTTGGGCCGTTGGGACCGTGGGATCATCTTCGCGGGACAGACGAGGGTCCAGTCTAGATGTTTGGATGATCGCAGGATGGACTCCAAGGGGCGGTGGTGGAGATAGAGTGGTAGACTGTGTCTCAGCAGGTCAGAGAGGAGATTTACAGAGTGGAATTGAGAGTTGAGGAGTCTAATGACACCGAAGAAAAGAACAAAGTGGAGGGCATAGAATTCAGAACATACTAGGTGTCCAGAGAGTGAGTCTTCTCAGGTGCTAGTTGTTTGGCACGTCCTCCATCGGATTCGGGCAAATCTAACAGTAACATCCCACCTACAAACCATCCTCTTACCCTCGTCTCGGCTGTATCGACCTCTGCTGACTTTGCAACGTCTTCTATCGCATCGACGGACGCGCGGACGATGCGAGCCACTTCGTTGTCGCTGCCAGAAGCCATGTCTTTCCCGTCAGAGACGGAGTTTGAACTCCTTCCCGCGAACATGGGAGCGTGGCCTGCTGCATTGACGAGGACCCGGATGGACTTCTCCCGCATAATTCGAGCCAGTAGATCAGAATCGGTCGCATCCCCTTCGATGATGGAGAGCTTTCGCCTAAGAGCAGGAGATAGAGAAGAGGGTTCAAATCCCTCTCGGCTTGGGTGCTGTGTATTGTAGAGGATGCGGCTCATTTTATCCCGGCTCCTGACGACAACAGTGACATTCACTGAGGGTCTCTCGAGCAGGCTGCCAAAAATGCGGGAGCCCAGGGACCCCGTAGCGCCGAGGAGAAGAACATTGATGGTGCTTTTGCTTGTGAGATTTGTGGCCATCATTAAAGGGCCCAGACTTGGAATAGCAACGAGTAGAATGACGCTTGCTGCGAGAATTTGGTCGTCCACTGGCACGGGTGGGATATAAATATGTAGACGTACACTGGGAGTCGAGATGCAGCCCGCCCATCAGAGGTTGAATACCCGGCATCGGCAACCCATCCAAAATGTATATAAGTGCCAGTGCCCAAGGGTTCAAGGATGACAGCATGCATATTGCGTCTAGCGATGTTTGCCGGGTTCACTTGAGACAGATTTCGCTCGGGTATGCACAGTGTTCTGGTGAGGCAGGTCTATTCGCAGTCCAGAGGTCGGGTATCCGGGGAGTCTTGGTTAGCTTCGCGGGTATGGTGGTGGGTCCCGGTTCACTCCAGGATACTCGATCTTCGACGTCTGTGTGGAGATATATGTGTGTTGCGCTCTCAAAAGATCGGATGCGGTGGCGATTAAGAGGGCTCGTTCTCGTACGGTCAGTTCAGCGGAAGGCGAGCTCGTGGTCACCGTATTGCTTGATCTGCGTAGTACTCCTTCGGCACGGTCTTCAGCTTGCAGTATCTGGCACGTTCTTCCAGAACTCGGTGCAGGGAAGCCATCAATCAAGCAAGTCGTATCTGCACTCCTAACTGGAGCCTGGGCTACCCGGATTGTTCGAATATCAAGATCAATTCCATTCAGGGTGCCGCAGGTAACTATCCATCAGCCGGAAGCCAAGATAATGACGACAGTTGCAGATCGTCAAAATTGAGATAGTTCAGGAAGTTGACCGGAGTCTCCATTGTAAGCATAGCGGCTTGATGAGAGCCGACTTCCATCGCGCTTGAGTCCATGACTCCAGGTCCTTGTTGCGCGTGATTGAGGCCCAATACCTCTCTGGCAATGATCTGAACCTCGTGCAGAGTCCTGCGGGCTAGTGGCCACACCGGAGCAAAGGGTCGGAGACAGCCAATGCACATACGGATCTGGTCGCGAGCCACGGCCAAGTTTCGCCCCGTCAGAAGAAACTTACACGCAGACAAATGTGCGACGATGACGGAGGAGACCATGCAGACCGTGAACGGCGTATGGTATGCGGGCTTCGTAGACATCGCAAGAAGTCGCACCACACAGTCTATGGATCTGAGACAACGGGCGGTGTGAATCCCCCGGAAAGCTTGCTCGGAACAAGGCGAGACTTCGGGAGGGTCTGCTGAGCAGCTGGATGAATACTCCAGAGGATTGTAAGAGAGCTCCGATAACGCTCTGTGGAATCCCACGGTGGCACTATTACAAGAGGAAAGTCAGTATTGCCATATTCACCCCGGTGAGACCGTGTTGACGTCCATGTATGAAAGGAGATTGTTTCTTCAAATGCTAAGGGAGACCTCACGCGTGAATCGCCATATGTGCTTGGAACATATGTTCGTCAATTTCGCCTCCAGCAGATGCAGTGACTTGCTTCGTTTCCGGGAGCGAGAGCAACCACCCGTCAATGGCAACGTCTACGACCTCAAAGACGCTCAACGAATCCCCCGATCTAGCCACAGTTGCCAGGAATCTGCTTATTGAGGATGCGATCCCACGGACGGCGCCGATAAGATAGGCAAAAGATGGCAAAACGATATCATCAGATGCAAACTCGCGGGTATCGAAATCAGCAAGCGTCCAAGGGGTCGGAATGATCTAGAGAAGCACATAGAGGAGGAAGTGTCAGCAAGCCGTCTAACACAAGAGGAGTGAGAGGAGATGTCAAGGGGAGCTCACCCCCGATTCGTATCCCTCCTCATCACAGGGTAGTTCCGTCGTCATTTCCACCTCGTTGGTTGTAAAAGTCGGAGCATGCCTTATGGCTGCATAGTGGGCGTCAACGATGTAGATCTGCCACCACGTCCTCCTCCAGCTCTCTTCGATGACCGGGTCACCCTCGCCATGGTCCACAGCGAAGTCGGCCTGATTCATGGAAAGTTGAAGGGCGATACGAATCGCAGCGTCCATCATTTCCTGTGCTCGGTCCAGCTCGTCACACCAGTGAAGGGAAATCGACTGCAAGAGATAACATTGTGCCAGGACAGGGCTCGGTGGGGTTTGCGACGACAGTTCGAGGATAGCGTCAGTCGCAATTGCTTTCAGCACGTCGGTGTTGACTGAGTGGGCATACAGTGAGCCGATGAAGCGCATCACGGCGAGCAATGGGTGAAAGTTCAGCTTGGTGGTGCCCATCGTCAACAATCTTTCGAGGTGCGGAAGGGGGACAGCAAGGGGATGGAATTTGTGGAAGTGTCTGTAGTAGAGGTGGACGAGGGCATCGATATTGGGACTGATGAGGTTCGAGCCTATAGTCTCGAGATGCTGTGCTCTCCCTTCTCCTGTATTTCTCTGGTTATTTCCAGACAAGGCCGAGACAATACTGATGCCGGACTCCAGCGCAGTAGCAGGAGAACTAGCTCCCACCAGGTTTCGTCGTGCCGCCAGAGCCGCCCGGGTCAAGCCTCCCCTGCGAGATTTAGTGTAGACGCATTCACTGCCGTCCAAAGAACACCGAGAGCAAGGTCTATTAGCATTGCATTTTACATGTGCGGCGCGGCAGGCCACACACGCCAGGGACACCCGTTTCGTGGGAGCTTTGTGAGGTGGAGAGGGGGTTTGGGCGCAGTCCATCTTCTCTTCCGGGGGGTTTACATGTTTACCAGACAGGAGGTGCGATCCGTTGTGAACTGAGGCTGTCGAATAGAGGCGTCAGCATGGACAAATCGGAAAGATGGCAGATACCGTGATTCCTTCTGTGGTGTCGTGGGTGATGGAAGTCGTCGGGAATCCGATCAGGTGGTTGATTCCCGGTTACCCGGTTGAGGATCCTTCTTACTGAGTTTGCGATTCAACTCCGAAGAGCAACCCCAACGTTCCGTATGCCCAGATCAGCATTGAGATATGTGATGCTCAGCGTGCATTCGTCTTGATATCGTGAATTTCCCATGGAAGGAGCGGCAAAGCATGAGTGGCTATTTCTATCCAAGGTTGAGATACTCCCTCAGATACATTGTTGGTTAGTGGCTCAAGCATCGACAAGGCAGAGACAAAGCCACTGCCTTCTCTAGTGAACCTCTATCATCCTGCTTCTGACTTCATTCTATTCTCCATAAACAATGGTCCTATGAAAGCTCCACAATACAGTAGCACCTGCTGCTTCGAACCCTCACTCATATCGCCAATGAAAGTTGGGATTGGCTCAAGAGACTTTCCTTTGCGCTGTTGACAATCATATATCCATAGTATGAGCGAATCGCTGACATTCCCGGCCCCAAGCTTGCCCGCGCCCGCGCCTGTTCTTCATTCACTGTTGATTTCGGGATCAAAAGCCCTGGTGCCCTGGGCTTGGGCGTTCTCCTCGTCTGTATGCCCGCGAGTTCTTTCCAAGTAGTCTTCAAACTCTTGCGAGATATCCATCACCTGCTCAATATGGCTGTACCCTAGCGACTCGTTCCTGTACTTCGCCACTTGAGTCGCCGTCCAAAGGCAATTGCGAATCTGTCGGCCGTTGAAGCGTCGTCGTGCCATGACCAAAGCCTTACGCCTGAGCTCTTCGTAAAGCATAGGCACTTTCTTCCCGTTCAGGGCCTCGATGAAGTTGCACCAGATCTCGTATCGGTCCTTACTATTTAGAACTGGATAGTGTATGGCGAGCTGAACACGGGATTTGAAGGCTTCGTCGAACGTGCCGACACGGTTGGTCGTGAGAATGAGAATGCCATCGTGGTACTACTCTGGTCAGGAGAAGATGTTCAATGTTGGTGGTCGAATCCATGATCAGCACAGCCCCGGCCGCCTGGGGACAGCCACGCATCGCCCCGAAACGGCTGCAGGCCTTGGCCTGGTGAGCTTTGACTTTTGACTTTTGCACGGCTTTTGCTGTTCGCTCCATTTGATTCAACGAATGTGCCATTTACGCCATTTCAATAGTACACAGGTCTTAATCAAAATAAAAGGGTGGCCCCCAGAATCCTGCACGCAAATCAAGGTATATTGAAGTCGACTATGTCAATACAAACCACAGATCACCTTGCCATCGACGGTTTACAAGGGATAGATCTGAAAACACCAAGAGAGCCTCATCACACAATCAAAGGAAGAGAAAATCTCCCATTCGTGTCCACGCTAATCAACATGCAGGGAGGTAAATCTGTCGAGTATTGCTTGCACTCTGCATTGGTTACCGAGATCGGATAACGGATATTGCACGCCCTAGAGCAGTACCATGTGCACGTGCCCGTGGCAAGCGTCTGGCTGCTGGCACAGGGGAGGTTATAGTCACAACGATTTGACCACGACCTTGGGGGTCTGGGTATGCTACCGTGAAGCTGCCGGAAGTGACTAGCAGAAGCTTCATTATACAACCGTCTCGCGAGGCACCCTCGAAGACGGCGTTCAATGTTGCGTATAACTTGTTTGGCGACTCCAAACTGCTTCCTTTCCGGCGACATAAATCTTCAGTTGCGACGAGAACGAAACAACGTGGTATTTTGGAGAAAACGAGTGTTGCCATGCTAGCCCATTCGTCCAGGCTTTGCTGGCGCTCATAGGATGAGACATCACCAAGCCGCGGTTCTCGTGAAGGAATTAATGGGTCTTGCTGGAAAGCTTGACAAATCAAGCTGCGGACATCACTGACAACGGTTGCTTTTTTGCTCTCGCCTGGGTCCGAGATACACCAAAATATGGGATATGACGATGACTTGAGCAGCGTTGTCACCTCCACAACCATATCCAGGGTGCGTTGTAAAGCCTGCGGTGTGCTTCTGACGATAAGCATCGAGCTTCTGGGTAGCCGGGTCCATTCCTTCAAACGCTTGATTGTCACCATCGTGGCTTGCGGAGAATGTCCTCGGGTGGTTTCGCAGGTCGCAGGGCTTGGATAATTGAGGAGACCTGCACGCGACTGAGTATAGTTTTTGAGTCACCTACATCAAGTTTGACGGCTTTCAGGAGGTCGTAGCTGTTCATGGTATGCTGAACGAGTTGCTGTAGGCTCTGCTCGTGCTTTTGACTCGAGATGGACACCAATTCCAACTGCGGCTGCATGTCCAACAACCGCTGCTCTATCTGTCGTTGACGTACAATGTGCTCTTCCACGACAAATGACTGGCCACGGATCTCGGCACGGCCCGCAGTACTGGCAATCAATTCCACGTTCCTAGCACAAAGTTCGATGTCTGCTACAGTTTCCTGAAAAGGGAGCTGGGAAGGCCGGAAGACGGCTTTCAAGACGCGCCTGGTACGATTCGCAGTGTACCACGTAACGGCTCTCTGGAGGAACAGCATGATATGTGCGTACAACCGAGCCACGGCTTCTTTCATCTAAGGTGTGTTGTAGAGCGACAGTTCCACACGAATACGCGGCAGAACGTCGCCGATGTGGGCTAAGGCCTTTGCTAGTTCTGCCGCGTGTTGTGAATAGTTGGACACACCCTGAGATCGATCAATGCCATTTCTTGTATCCACGCACAGGGGCGTACAGCAAAAATAAATTTAACAGCTCCCCAAGCAAGCCCTGCATGAAGGGGGTCGGCATTGGCGAGGATGTCTAGCACAGCGCCATAACGGGCCATGTTCGCTGCAAAGGCGCCAATCCACCTCTTCGCTCTGGCATGAGGCTCCGACCGATCATCATAGGAATCCCGTGCCCGCTCGACCGTTTTCTTGACGTCTTCGAGCGAGGTCTGGCCACGGGTCCATGCTCTTTCACTCGGTGTTTCAGCCAACGCTCTTTCGAAATACTCGACGGCTCTCGCATACGCGTCTACGGCGATCCTTGTAGAACTATGGTGCTCTGCGAGCCATGTACCCACCAACACCGCAGCGAAGTTCTCACCTTGTATTTTGGCCAGACCACCACCAGGCCGTTATCTCATCCTGAGGTCGGGCCACCGTGAGCATCTCGGCGCACGATCAGGTTGGCGATTCCGCAGGCTTCCCGCTCATGGAGCGAGGCATCTCGACAGACTGGCAACATCTGCAGACACCCAGTCAGGCTGGATGATGGGCAGAACTGGCCTCGACCTTCGAGCCGCTAGCCGCTAACCGCCAGTCGCAGTCCGCTGCATACAGTATTGCATTGAACCAGTGTTACAAGCGAGCGAATTGTTCAAGACTCGCTGTTACCATGCAGGCTTGGCAACTGAAGCCTGAGCAAAAGCCGTTTCCTCTTGAGTCCCACGAATTCTATCTCTCTCTCCTTCACACTAACTAGACCTCGCCCTCCGCCAATTATCACTTCTCATCCCGGATCACAGCCCGTCCGCGTGCTTGTGCCTACCTGATCCAAATGACCTCAAAACAAGGATTGCCACGGTGTGATCGTAACATCGCAAAAGGCTGCATATCGACACTGTGCACAGCAAAAGACGCTCCATAATATGAGCGTTGCCAAGAACGTATAGACTGAGGCGTTGTGTTGAGGGGCAGAGAGATAGACGCTTCCCCTGCCGAGGGATCTCACAACACGCCTATTCTCACGGTTAAACCCCTAATTCTGTTTCAAACGATGCCTCTCACTCCCGAAGACATTGTCAGAAAGTACATTGACGACGGAAGTTCGCTGGAGCGGGTGAACCAGCGCAAATCCAACCTCAAGATCGCCATCGTCGAGCCCAACCCGGCGTGGCCGCAGCGCTTCCTCGACGTCAAAGCCCGGATCGACGCTGCGCTGGGGTCGACGGCGCTCGCAGTCTTTCACGCCGGATCGACCAGCGTGCCCGGCCTGCCGGCCAAGGACGTAATTGACGTGGACCTGGTGGTGCGGGATGTCGAGGACGAGGCCGCGTACGTCGACGCGCTCGGGCGCGCGGGCTTCGTCTTCCTCTTCCGCGAGCCCGCGTGGCACCAACACCGCTTCTTCGTCGACGAGGGAGGCCGCCCACTTGACGACGGATACCCGGTCAACCTGCACGTCTTTGGGCCCGACTGCCCGGAGGTCGAGAGACACCGTATCTTCCGCGAGTGGCTCGTCCGGTCGCCCGACGACCGCCACCTCTATGCCACTGTCAAGCGCGAGTGCGCCACGGCCGCCGAGACGGCCGGTGAGTCCATGCAAGCATACACGGTGCGCAAGGACAAGGTAGTCGGAGAGATTCTGGACCGCGCATTTCGCGATCTGGGCTATATCAAGTAATTTCAATCAATCGATCCTCCTAACTGTACTCATCCATCATCCTTCTTTTAATCGCCCCACAACCCTTTTCTCCTCGCCTCGACACGATATACTTATATCTATCAAATACAGTAGTCAACAGCAGACACTACCAGATACCACCAGACATCAGCATACACTAGTATATACATACCAGCACACATGGGGAATACCCAAAAAGAAAAGGAAAAGGAAAACAAAAAAGACATCAGAGAAAGGCAAAGGAGGACCAAAACCAGAGAGAGAAAGAGAAGAGAGCAAAACAAGGTATATCCTGCGCGCTCAGATATCTCTGTCTCACAAGTAGGTAGATAAGATTGAAAGTATCCATAATCATGGTCATGGTCATAATCGTGACGAGTGCAATATGTTTGTACCTGTACCTACTACCTAGGTGTATATATGTAATATATGGTATGTACGTATATCCAAGCACTTAGGCACAGAATACTACATCATGAATGATGATGATGCTGATGATGATAGATCATTCCACTATCGATGTGGTTGGGACAGAACAATAAAATCAAACATGACCTCCCAATCTCCCTTCCGGACCTGGAAATGCAGCAATTTGCCGATAACGAATGCAATGTGAGAAAACCGCCCCGAGTCTAATGGAATGATCGCTTTCTTTTTTTCGCGGAGCGTCGAACAAACCAAAACTTGAATGGACTTGGTGTCCCGCGACAATTCTTCTTTTTGGCTTGTTCCTTATTCCTGTAGCCAGAAAACGCCGGTCGCTATGCGCCCGCCCCATGCAAGTCGAATAAAAATCCATAACAGCAGAGTGCCATCCTAGCGGTTCCATATTTTGGGGAGAAAAAGTGGACGACAGGATATTCCCAGGAGCTGACTCCTGTTCATTTCCGACGGTGTGGCTTTGTACCCCAATTATATCCAAGGGTGGTATAGCTCCGAGGCGGGATTTCTTGTGCGAACAAAGACCCTCGACTTTGCTCACCAAGTCTCTGCGATGTATTGACCCGAGCTCTTTTTCTCATCCCAGAAGCTCTGTGCCTCCTCGCGATTCAACTTGCCCTTGGCCATTGCCACATCAATCAGCGCGGCCTCGACACCTTCACCCATACCCTTGGAACTGCCACAGACAAAGATCCTCCCGTCCACGGCGTTGATGATAAACCAGACCAAGTCTGCTTGGGCACGGACTTCTTCCTGGACGTAACGGCCTTGTCCCCGTCGAGATTGGACAACTTTCTTCACTTTGTCTTCGTGGACGCCCCAATCACCGGAGTAGAGCTCGTCCACAAGACTATCCCGCACCCCCTGGAGCACCCAGACTTTATTGGCGCAATTGGCCGACTTCAGTCGACGATGGACGAATCCCCGGAATGGGGCGATGCCGACACCGGCCCCAATGAGAAGCATAGGTCCGTCGCTGACAAATTCACGAGCCAGCGGGTTGGCCATGAGGCCTCGGAACATGGGGACCCTGAGGTCCAAGTCGCGAGGGTTCTTTCCTTCCTGCTCTGCCTGGATGACCTGCTTTGCTAGTCGCTCCAAAAATCCCGATCCCACGCCTGTCCGCTTGCCCGTGGCGTAGTCATCTGCTTCGTGGACCGTGACCGCAATTTCGATTAGTCGCCGGCATTGTGTGCCGTCCCGCTGGCGCGAGATGGTCGGATCCTGAGACAAGGAGTAAAATCGAGGCATGAGTTGATTGAGGACAGAGAGCAGATGGTCAAGAGGAGGTCTGGAAGAGGGAAAAGCGCTGAGGAGTTGCGGAAGAGTGATGTATGGTCCCGTTCGGAGGTCGCAGAACGCTGCCTGGCCTTGTGCTGAAGACAGGTACATCAGAATCGTCTTTTCGTTTTCGTCTTCTGCATGCTCAGCCAAGAGCCGGAAGAGCTGTTTGGTGGGCGGATAGCTCTGAATGTCTGAACACCAGGTCAGTAGCTCCCTTCGCGTGGTGACAAGTTCCCGAGCCTTCTCTTCTCCCCAGATCGTTGGCCATCTTCCAGTGGTTGTCTTGAGTAGTATCGGCTTATCGCGCACAAAGCTTGGCACGCCTAACAGATCTAAGATCTGATTGACCATGTCAGGTGGATTGGCGGCGCACACGCCAATAGCGCCTCCTACGACAAAGTCAACATCTCCGCTCTCCTTGGGGTAGTCAGTCACATCAATGTCGAAGTGGTATGTTCTTTTTTCCGCCCCAGGCTTCGTCAACTCGCGGGCGTGGAATAGAGGTGCTGAAAATACCTCGTAGGGAGGGTGCGGGGTGACGAAAGTGGGTGGGTGTTTTAGGACTTCCGGCTTTTGGCTATGGGGCTCTGCATAGGTACGTGCGGGCGAAGTTGACAAGGATTCGAATGACACTGTCTTCGGCGGTACCTCGACGACGCCTGAGAGCTCGCTGTCCAAACTCAGATGGCCCAAGTTGATTTTCAAGCTTTGGAAGGCCGGACTCTGAGGGGCTTTGAGCGGCCGATGACCCGGACGAGGCTTCTTTGTCTTGAGCTCTTGAAGCATGCAACAACCTCCACCACAGCAGGCTTTCTGGATCAGGGCAGTCGAAGCGCCGCGCTCACCCAAAAATCGTCTTGCATCTTCCGAATCTTGAGAGACCAACAACGTCGACGCCCGTCTCTTCCTGCCCTGTGGACTTTGAGGTGGCTGACCGTTCAAATCCTCGAAGGGGACGTCTGAAAGATTCTCGGTCGTCGGGGTCGTGGGTTCGGTGCTTATGCTCGAGGCACTGTCGGAGTAGGAACTCGAGGGGCCATTGGAGGTCAGAGAGGGCGAAAGCTGCGAGGCGGAGATTGAAAGTTTCCTCGTATCCAGAGGCTCTTCGGGAATGGGGTTATTGGGGTGTGAATGGGCTGTGAGAGGCAAAGGGTGCCCCGGGACCATGGTAGTTGACATCTTGGGACGAGCGGCAACACTGTGAAGAGCACCTATCCGACAGATGTGTTTAGTGTTTGTGCAGTGATTGAGAAGAGATTTTGCGTGACAATGTAGGAAGCTTTCCCCTGCTCCATAATAAAAGAGCAGCCCACGCAGAGCGATTAACCCAGAGATTTCGCAGCATTATGCATTGCTGAGTACGGCTGGAAGCGGGTTGTGTGGGCTCAAGAGGCTAAGAGGGTTGGGGAACTTACGGGCAGTTGAGGAGATGATGTAAGGTGCGGAATGAGTCCTCGGGATTGAGTGGCAGGCCAAGAATAGCCCTCGACTTAGAACGCGTCCAGACACTTTGGATCGGAAGAAGCAGCAGCCGTCGACAGGAAGAGAGATATTAATGCGAAAGACTGTTGAACATTTCCGAAAGGCCCCTGCTTGTATGTGCAATGGTAATTCGGTTGAGCAAAAGTTGTCGAAACCGAGAAAACGAGAGAAAAGGCACGCCCAAAGTGGGAGGAAGATGTGGAAAGAAGCTGGAAGGGCGAAAAAGGTGGTGGGATGGGAAAATCGGAGAATCGATGGGAATAATTAATGATGGATGGAATGGGGGGTGAAGGGGGGATGAAGGGATCTTTTTAGATGCTGGCTCTTTTTTTCTTGTCGGCTTTCCTGTGGTGCGCGGGTTCGTGGTTCGTGGTGCTGGGATTCTGGTTATCGGCACGTTACAAAGTACGAAAGTCACAAGGAATTTGTACGAATTAAAGTTGATTCGGTTCACTTGGCCCATTCAGCGTGGATACCGATTTTCCTCTCTTTCTTTCTTTCCTTTCTCTATCGTGGAATGACTTATGGTCAACACTACTACTTGGTAACCCTTTTCCCC